TTATAATAATCACAGTTATAGTTTCCCAAGTTTATAGCACACTGACTATAGCGAACTAATAATAGATACTCAGCATACTCTCCTTTTGGCGCGTCGCATTGGTTATACTTAAAGGCGTGTGTAGGTTTTCTAGAAATTTCAGTTTTACGTAACAATACTGGCGCTAACACAAGTGTTTACGTACACACATATTGTTGATTCTTACTCTCGAGAATAATCTACAACTTTGGAGAATAGTCGGGAGTTTCGCAATACATTTTTAACAGAATAAGCCATGTATATTTCTAAATATAAATTTAATCTAAACAAACGTTGATATTAAAATAAATATATAATAACAGATTCGTTACATACGTTTAAAACTATAATTTATTTTTAGGCACATTGCATTATAGTATTGTTGTAAGCTATATTTACATTTTTTAACTTCTGTGTTTGCTAAGGGCTCATGACTTTAAGATCAAGTACATAAAAATAGCCCTAGAATTCATAATAAAGTTCACTGTGACATCAAGAATATAGTAATTTTGACTAATATTTAGACATCAGCATATTAGTTATGCATACGAATAATTAGTTGGTTAGTTAGTGAAGTACTAATTTAGAGTTCAGTGAAGTATTTATTGAGAGGTTATTAAGTACTGATTTAGAGTTCAGTGAAGTATTCGGTGTGTGAAAGATCGAATAGTTGTTGATGGAGAGAAAATTAACCGAGTAAAGTTAATCACTAATTTAGTCAGGTTTGTTACTAATCAAGTAAATATTTGTTAAACGTTATTAGTGTATTAGACTTGCAATAGTTTCAGAGTTTATGTTGAAAACTTTAACTGTAAACTTAGGACTACAATTTGCGTCAAAGTGAAAGTAGCCTGTAGCAAATGTTATTGAAGAAATAAATTAATTTCTTCTCGTTAGGTGGATTGGACTTGGCATTATTTCTTACCAGATAATTCAAAAGAACTCACCCAACGATACAATAAGTTACAGCAATGTATATTTATAGATAAAAAGAATAAAACGTCGATTTTGGCACAATCAACATAATGTTACGACAGCGGAATTCACGTGACGCTGGTAACACGTAATGAGTATCTAGAACGTTTGTGAAGGCTCGAGTGTTTACCAGACGCCCTCTATTTCGTATATATAAGACCGGCGAGAAGTGACGGCATAGATATATAGATAGATAATTGCAGACAGGCGGAGATAGAGACGGACAATTGAGTCAAGCGCGGTAGTAAGTAAAGTGCGTGAATCGTTCGTTGTGAATTATAGCGTGTGTTTAGGTTAAAGCGACTGTGGAAATTAGGTGTATTGCAAAATTGAATTGAGAAAGAATAAACTAGTTTTATTTAAGAAAAAACTTGTATCGCTGAAGTTTCTCGGAAAGAATTTCTACGGAAAATTAACAAACGAACACAGACGTAACAATAAAGTTATATTAGGTACTTAAGCCGAATAGTTTCAGTACACCATATTCATAGCCCTGATTATGATAACTATGTTACCGAAAATAGTCGGCTTCAGTAACTAATATGTCTAATATTTCTGATAAAAATCACGTAAACTGCAGCATCCCCCCCCCCCTATCAAAATGGCATTTCAGATCTATATTTTGTCTCCCATAAATCACTACCCAAGGAGCCTTGCTGTCAATATCAGAACTCGTCACTTGGGATGGACGATGATAGACAAACGATTTTCTGAAACGCTGTTTATAAAAGCAGTATATTACTTTAAAGGTTACAGTTTAAACGCCAATAACTGTCGAAGTAGTTTGAAACCAGTAGACCTAAAATTTGTGGTAAAAATCAAATAAACTTTAGATGATTTCTTTTTCATAGCATTCCTATTTATTTTTACATTTCGGATTCAAAAACAAAAGCGTGTAAAAATAACATTTCACATTTATATTTTGTCTTCCAGAAGTCACTGCCTAAGGGCCTTTCGGTCAATATCAGAACTCGTCAGTTGTTCTGGACTATAACCGTTTACGGGTTTAAATCGTAACTGACATAGCTTTATGTTTTGTTGTGCAGAATTTCGTCATTTCCTTCTTTTTTATTTATCTACATGGTTAAAACTATTTACAGAGGTATAGGTTATACTAAATAACCTTGATTTTAAAGCCAAGTCGCGATTAAAATTGCGTTGAACTATTACTACACGCAAGATTTAGTAATTGAGCTTATTGTATTTAATCATAAAACAATGAACAGTAACAAAGGAGCGCAGCCTTCAGTTCTGCCTAGGACGTTAGCGCCGGCCCTGAGCACCCGGAGACGACTTTGGAAGATCATTTTTAGTCACAACAGTTTAATATAAAACCTTCTTTGCGACTTCAGCTACCCTCCACCCCTGGACAACTTAGGGATTAGACTAAAGGAGTCTATAACGCTCCAACTTGATTCTTAATTCCTGCGATGGTCACAACACAGGTTGCCACTGTGCAACTTTGCGTTTAAAACAAAATAAACATATCTTCGCGGCCACATTACCTTTATGAACCAAAGACTATAGTTAGCTTAAATCCAAAGAACGTAGTAACGAGGGACGGATTGTCATTAAAGTACCAGCCCGAGAAATATCACTAACAGCGTCCCAATAATTTTTCATATTCTGTATACTGGCTAAGCAATTAAAATTAATTGAATCAATTTATAAGAATGCGTCAAAATTGCAAGGAGTGGTTACAAAATAACATCCTAATGGAACGTGTATTAACCATCGGGGGGGGGGGACTTGGTGGTTAGGGCGCTCGACTCGTAATTTGCAGGTCGTGGGTTTGAATCCATCTCACTGAGTATGCTTGCTCCTTTGCCTTTTGGGCGTTATATTGTGATGACCAACCCCACTATTCGTTAGTAAAAGAGTAATCTAAGAATTAGCGGTGGGTGGTGTTGACTAGCTGCTTTCCCTCTAGTATCTCACTGCTCAATTAGGAACGGCTAGTGCAGATAGCCCTCGTGTAGCTTTGCGTGAAATTCAAACCAAATCAGACCTTATTATTAATAAGGGCAGGTAGCTCTCGAGTAGCTTTACGCGAAATTATGGGCAAACAAACAAATTAATTAAACTGAATACTGAATCTTGCTGTGCTATTGTGGGTCACAGTAATACTTTTTAAAATGTAGTGTTTTGTATGTTTATGTTTGAAATAAATGTTATTTCGCGAATTTTCAAAGGTTATGGGCTATAGCAAAAGAACTACATTGTACTTAAAGTTTTCAAAGTTCATCTTGCACGTTTACATATCATTTCACGTTTTCAGTGTGAGCTTTACGAAGCAGTCATTGATACGAACCTACGTCATTTCCGCCTTTGCTTCACCTGGAAAACTATTGGCCGGTGATAACCATGTTTCCTTGATTTTCAGACCGACCATCAGAAGAGCGACAAGTTGGATTCTGTGTCACGCTAGGCCATATCTATCGTCATTGTTTTCAAAGAGAGAGAGGCGGGATTTTAAAATAGGCAACCTGGTGATTGGTCGCTCTTTGCCGGCGCTTGCATGAAGTCACCCTTTTTTTTTTCACCGTAGAGTTGTAATCTCCTTTATGTCTTACCTGTGGCCTATAATCTGCCCCAGTTTTGTTCCGAATATATGGATGAGCACCACTATATCATTCTCCGGTAAAGGATGCCGGATGTGGAGAAATAACACAAAGTGGTAATTACAGTACCGATATTCTAGCATTGTTCTTGCCGAAATATCATAGCCGTTATTCTGTAGAAGTTGTTTTTTTATGTATGTGTGGTTGTTATAACTTCAAAAATAGTTTATCTGTTAGCATACGTGAAGTCCAGGTCCTGCCTAAGATTGGATCACGTGTTACGGATTAAAGGGCTGGGGTATAGCAACTGCTCAGTTGAACGCGCCATGTATGCATGTATATGTCTAGGGTTTTGTTTAAAGTACACTCGCCGTCTAGCAGTCTGACTAAACTGGAATTTAAAGTGTTGCCAAGTTTATGTACGCCTCCACATATAATCTGTATTAACAGTGCGTTCAGCTAGGGTTTCTCACTCAAACCGGCAACTTTATTGGCTGATCGATTGGGATGAAACCGTCACTGACCTGCTAACCCAAGAAACGCTGGTAGAGCACATGCACGTGCATGACATGAGTGCTCTCCTTAGTTATTAGAGACCGTGCAGTACTTTAGTTTCAAAATTTAGTAGAAAGGTAACAAGCTATCAAAAGACGTTGCACGGTTTCATGTGGTTTTATATAATGATTAAAACTAAAGCGTAGGATCTGTGCTAGGACAAATGACAGGCTTTAGACGTGACAAATCTTTATAGAATCTATTTGTAATCCACGATATGCTAAAATGTACGTATTATCGTCTCAGTTTTTTGCTGTTTAAATACTATTTCTCCTCAGTTTTCGGTGATTTTTTGTCGATTTTTGCGTTAGCTGGTGCTCGTGAAATATATTAAATTACCTGCGGTGATTTGTATCATTAAAGTCACGTGATATTAAAGCATGGAAAGCATCATCACGAAGAAAGAACACCCGAAGCTGTGTGTTACGACGTTGTTATATGGTCCATCAAGTAGCGGCGGTTCAACACCGACCTGGCTCCATTCGCCTCTACCAGTACCAGGTGAGTTGTTACTACCCGCCTATCGTTTGTAATTCATAATACAGAGTTCACGATAAGTCGGTCTTTCGAAAAAGTAGGTATTTCGTCTTCAGGACTGAAGTAAAAATTCTGAAAATTAGTTAATTTCAGTCAATTTACGTTATCATTTGTTTTGTAAAACTCACTTTGTCAGTGGGTTTTTCACTGTGCCTAACATCTGTCTGTCTATTAGTTAAATTAGTCATATATATGTTTTTGTCCACCTATCTAAGTTATGTTTGTTGCGAACATGCATTAAGATTGCTTTTACTTCGATTGAAGTTTTGACAATAAAATCCTTCCAATTCTTGGTTTTCATTTGAAGAGTCAGCTACATATTGACAAGATATCTCCTCTAGTCTAGTCATCAGATTTCTTGCCGCCAAGGGATGATATTCTCATAAAGTAACTAGTTTGGTATAACGAAGTTATAATTTAGGGTAGTTTATAGTTATTCCATGTTACTTTGAACTAGTGGATGTTTCGCTTATGTGTTCAAAAACTAAACTAATAGCTTCAATCTTTGGAAAACTCATAATCTACGTCGGTTCTCGATACATACGTACTGTGACAGATTTGAAAACTAGGCTTGACAATAGTTCAGTGTTTTAACGTGAGCACCTTTTATGTGATTAAGTTATTTGTGGAAAAGCAAAAACGTGGCTGGTGCTGTTGAAATGAATTTTTTAATTGTTTCTACCCACATTCTAGGTTTGTTTTTCTACACACACATTATACAGTTTTCTAAACATTAATACCTAAAGTCCATTTTCTAAATGTTACAAAACAACCAACTCTTCTAAGTTTTTTACCTACAGCCCAATATTCTAAGTGTTACAACACAGCCCAGTTTTCGTAAGGTTTTCACCCACAGCCGAGTTTTCAAAACATTTTTTACCCATTGTCCAGTTTCTAAATGTTGTTACTTACAGCCCAATTTTCTAAATGTTGTTACCCATAACCGAGTTTTCAAAACTTTTTACCCACTACCCAGTTTTCTAAATGTTGTTACCTGTAGCCCAGTTTTCTGAATGCTGCTACTCAAAACCCTGTTTTCTGAATGTTTCTATACACAGACTTAGTTTTCTATTTCTTTACCCACAGCCAAGTTTTCAATTTTTTCTCTACCCTTATCCCAGTTTTCTGAATGTTTCTATCCACAGCTAAGTCCCCAGACTTACCAAAGCATGACTTGTAACTTGTAATAACCCTAAGTCATGATTCTATAAGAGCGAGTAGGATATAAAGAATGATAAAACAATAAACCCGATATCTGGGCGTAGACGGCTGGTTTTCAGATGTTGCATTTCCCCCATAAATACAACAGTTTAAATCTACACTATGTACAATATATAAAAAAGGGTTTATTTTAAATGCTAAAATTGATATTGTTGCGTCAGCGAGTC